TGTACATATTCTGGTCTAGCCAGAACTGAAAGGCAGGACTGGGTCATGATTGGGTTTGGCGGGGTGGGTAGGGGGGTGAGGAAGTCTCAAAGAGCCAGAGGAATATATTGTGTTTGACTCATCCCTCCCTTATGACCCTTCTGTGAGGGGAAGTTTTATTGTCTACAAATAGGTTTTGGGTCTCTGCTCCAACCCCCCTCATTCTCAACAATTTGTTTGTTTGGGAGCTTCTGATGTCTGTTACCTGATCTCGTCGACACCTCATGATCGCACAAGCTGGTTTGTTTCTTCCATGTGTGCTTGTGCCTTCTCAGCTAGATGGCTGCTTGTTTAACTTCAAGCCCTTAAGACCCCAGATGCTATATCTTTTGATAGCCAGGTACCATCAGATTTCTTCACCACGTTTGCTTGTGCACCCATTCTGTCTTCAGCGATCCTGTCGGGAGGGTGAGCTTGACAGAATGCCAGGTTGTGAAAACAGTGCTCTTGTATTGAGGGAGGGCTTGAGCAGAGGCCCAAAGTCCATCCACTGCCTCAATGTATTGCCATATAAATATATGTACATAGGCCAATACCTCTATTTTCATGAATTAATATATTTACTTATGTGCACACCTATGTTTATACCTCCATCCATAGCTTTGCTTCCTAGCGCGTTCCTCTTTCCTTTTACCTTCCTCGTGCCCCAGCATCATGCTTTCCCTTCTTCTGCCCCTTAATAATTCCTTTCAGCTAGATTGCTGTTGCTTCCACACCACCAGGATCTCTGCATCCTCCTCACTGCTTTGAGTTCCCTAGTTGTTCCCCTGTCTATGGTGTTGTTTGCTCACTACTCCCTTCCACCATCTCCTCCTCCTCCCAAATCCCCCCGGATCCTTCGGTCCTGTTGCTTTTTCCTTAGGCTTGCTTCCCATGCCTACCTTATATAGGTAGGCAAAACAATAGTAACAGAGACAAAACAAAAAGAAAATAAAAGATTGAATGAAAAGAGGGAAAAAAATTAGCAAAAGCAAAAATGAAAAAGCATACATAATTCCAGATCTGTCCTTTGACCTTTATGACTATCTCCCCACTGGTTCTGGGGGCATCTGGGAACTCCCCCTTCTAGTCTGGAGTCTATTTTTAGGGTTCCTCAGGGGCTTTGTGGCTTGGATTTGCTCTCATTGTTAGTCTGTTATGTTCCCTTCTTGGTTCACCCCACTGTGGAGGATTCAGCTCAGACACTCCCTGCTATGTGTCCCCAGTATTGTTCTCTGTCATGATGTGATCAAGCAAGGAGACATCAAGTCTCGAGCTGTTATCAGCCCTGTAGTCCTCTCTGTGCCTTCGCAGTTACATGCAGGGACATCATCCTCAGGGCTTGGTGTGCCAGAATGGGGTCTAGAGCCTCACTCTTTCTTTTTCCTTCTTGGTTTGCTTCCGTGTGGGTGTGCCAGGCTGGCCCCTCTCCCCAACCTGTAGGTTTAGTGTTGTCCTCTGTAGCACATACTTCCAAGGAGGGGGTCAGTTTGGCTCTGGTTGGGGCCGGCCCTGTAGACCCCTCTGTTCATGAGTTTCTCTGTGTGGTTTCATTGCCCTCCAGGTTTGATGTACCTTGGTGGGCTCTGCACTCACACTCCCATTTCTTGGAGACATAAACAATACCCTCCCCCCTGGTGGATTTGTGTCTTGCTTTCCCAGTGCCATCGTCTCCCTCTTATTTTTTGCCTCCCCCACCCCCTTCCCCGTCTTTGTGTATGAATGACATGTATATCCTTGGGTTGATCTGTCCACCGCCTGATTGCCTGTACCGGTGTAGTATGGGGGGGGGGGAGCTTTTCTTCTATACCTGCTGTGCTGATAATACTCACCTCAGTGGGCTCATGTTGTGCTTGTGCTTTTGTGATTGGCTACTTTCACTTAGCATGATTTCCTCCAACTCTTCCCATGAGACAATACACTTCATGACGTCATCACTGCTTTTTAGTGATGCATAGTACTCCATTGTGTGTATGTGCTGGAGTTTTCTAACCTACTGTTGTATTGATGGAAATTTTTGTTGTTTGCAATTCTTTGCAGTTGTGAATTGCGCCACAGTAAACATGGGAGCATAGATGACAGGTCGTGGTCTATTCCATATCTCTTCTAGTATCTGCCCAGTAGAGGGATTGCTCGGTCGTAAGGTAACTCAATTTCCATTCACTTTAAATATTGCCAGATCACTTTCCACAGAGGCTGTACATATTAACATGACTGCCAACAGTGGAGGAGAGTTCCTATCTCAGCACATCCCCTCCAACATTTTTTGCTCTCTGATATTTTGAATTGGGTTAACCTTAAGGGTGTTAGGTGGTAACTCATGGTTGCTTTAATTTGCATTCTCTGATGGCTAATGATCGGGAGAATTTTCTCATATGTTTATTGGCCAGTCGGGTCTTCTCCCTAGTGAAACTTCTGTTCAGATCTTTTGCCCACTTCCTCAGGGGCTTAGCTGTTTCTTCTTTTTGCAGGCTTGGGGGTATTGTAGATTTTAGTAATAAGTCCTTTGTTTGTTGTATCATTGCTAAAAATCCTCCCAGTGTTGGTGAAGTCTTTCAATGCACACAGGTTTTTTTTATCCTTAGTATATTCCACTTACAGGTGGATATCCATTGTTTCCAGGACCATTTGTTAAAGAGGTTATCTACCTCCCACTTGATGCTTTTGGGGCCCTTGTCAAAAATCAGTTGTTTCTATGCTGATGGTTTTATTTCGAGGTTTTCTGTTCTTTTCCCTTGGTCTGAGTATCTATCATTATTCCAGTACCATGCTATTTTGACCACCGTGGCTGTATAGTAGGTTTTAAAGGCAGGTAAAGCAAGCCCTCCAACTTTGTCCTTCTTCTTGAGGAGTCCTTTGCTAATTCTGGGCTTCTTCCCTCTCCCTATGAAATTGGTGGTAAAATTTTCCAATTCTTTGAAGAAGGTTGTTTGGTTTGTCCTTTTAACAGTCCATTGTACTTTCAATATCCTTCTCTAGTACCACAATTCAAATGCATCAATTCTTCTCTGTTCTTCGTTATTCAATGTCCAACTTTCAAATGCATATGAAGCAATGGAAAAGACCATGGCTTTGGTCAATTGGACCTTAGTCCTCAGAGTAACATCCTTGGTTTTCAATGGTCTTAAGAAGTCTTGTGCAGTAGATTAACCCAATGCAACTTGTCTTTTGATCTCTTGACTGCTTCTTCGATGAGCATTGATTGTAGATCTAAGTAAGAAAAATCCTTGACAACTTTCACCATTTATCATGATATAACCTATTGGCCCAATTGTGAGTACTTTGGTCTTCTTTACATTGAATCACAGTCCATTCTGGAGACGGCAATCCTTGATCTTTGTCAGCAAGTGCTTCAGTTCCTTCTCCCTTTCAGCCAGCAAGGTGGTGTCCCTTGCAGATTGTTCATATGCCTTCTAACAATCCTAATGTCAAATTCTTCTTCATATATCAAAGCAGGGAATAACAGAAAAATATTTACTTGTGTTTTATAGATTACACAAAGGCAGTCGACTGTGTGAATCATGCCAACTAAGGCTAGCATTGAGGAGAATAGGAATTCCAGATAATTCATTCTGCTCATGTAGAATCTGTACAGGGATCATGAGATGGTTGTAAGGAACAGAACAAGGAATTACCAGAGGGCTCAAAATCAGGAAACATTTGCGATGTCAGGGTTGTATCCCCTCACCATAATTATCCTATCTGTATGTTGAGAATATAATCAGAGAAGCTACATTATATGGGGAAAAATGGCAACTGAATTGGAGGAAAGCTTCTTAACCTGCAATTTGCAGCTGACACAACCTTAGTTGTTGAAAGTAAGGGGGATTTGAACTACTGGCTGATGAATATTAAGGATTACAGCCTTCATTATGGATTGCAATCTAACCTAAAGAAAACAAATCCTCACCACTAGACCATTATGATAAACAAAGAAAAGATGCAAGTTGTCAAAAAATGCTATCTTGCTTCCACAATCAATGTCCATGGAAACAGCATTCAAGAGGCTAGAACACATTGCATTAGGAGACTCTCCTGCACAAGACCTCTTTAGTATGTGGCAGAGTACAGATGCCATTTTGAGGACTAAGATGTACCTGACCAAAGCTATGGTTTCTTCTGTCATCTCAGATGCATGAGAACATTGAACTTTAAATAAGGGTGACCGCAGAAGAACTGACACATTTGGATGATGTTTCTGGAAAAGAACATTGAAAGTACCATGGAGTGCCAAACGAGCAAACCCATCTTGGAAGGAGTTCAGCCAGAATGCTCCTTTTAAGGAAGGATGGTGAAACTTTGTCTCACATATTTTGGAGATGTTAACAGGAAAGACCAGTCCCTGGAGAAGGACATCCGTGCATGGCAGAGTAGAGGGGCAGTGAAAAAGAAAGCCCTGGACAAGATGGACCGAGAGTAGCTACAAGGATGGGATTGAGCATCACAGTGATTGTGAGGATGACGTAGGACTGGTGGGTGTTTCATTCTGTTGGACATGGGGGTCGCTGGGAGTCAGATCTGACTCCGTGGCATCTAATAACAAGACTTTTATCATCAACACGAATACTATATTTTACAGTCATAGATATGCATAAATTATTTTACTTTCCAGCCAGATCCCAATTGTTTATTTGCACAATTCTCACCTTAAACATGGGGTACAAATATTACAAACATTTGCTCATCAAATATTGGCATTATGCATTCCCAGAAGGTAAAGAAAAGCTGGAAAAAGAAGTCCGAATTTTCGATACACCAAATTTCCACTCAGAAATACTTTGCCTTGATGATTTCTTCCAAAACCAGCAGTGAGAAACTTTCACGTGGGTTTAGCCTTTATTCAACGGAGCCGCTAATCTTTATTTCCATCTTTTCTACAGGTAATGACACCTACTCGGGGCTTTTGCTGGCCTTCCCCATCATGCAGGAACCATTTAGTCCTGTGTGTGACTAACTCTCTGTCCTGCATTGACTTTGTCTAGGCTGATATGCAGCAGAAGAAAGAGCCCGCTCAGGATGACTCTGATCTGGATCGTAAGCGCCGAGAGACAGAGGCTCTGCTACAGAGCATTGGCATATCACCGGAGCCACCCCTAGGTACTTACCAGTGCGCCCTGGGTCCTGTGCGGGGTAGACCATGTCCAGTGTTGGCCTGCAGCTTACAGTTCATTTGCATGTATATTTTTGGAATTGAGAGGGCTGGGAGAGACAGAAGGAAAGGTCGTATAGTGTTTTGAAATTTGCTGCTCAATAGCTGGTTACAAGGTCAACTTTCCCCAATATTACAATAGGCTTTGTTTACTAAATGAGTTGTCTTGCAGTAAGAATGCGAGAGATTTTTCAATTTTCAATTAGATTTTTTTTAACTTTTCCTTGCTGAATCCCAGTCTGTCTTTGCCAAAATACAGTGAATCTGCTTATGAATTTCATGACCGGCGTAAGCATGGAGTTATTCCAGGAGGAAAATACAATGTTTAGTGAGATATTTGAAGGAAGTCGGATTAGAAACAAAAACAAAAATGATGAGCTATTAGCAGCTAATTAATCAGGGCAAACATATTAAAGTATATTGTATATCTTGGTTCTATTGTGAATGGCATTTTCACTGCACCACCTCCTTCCAACTCATTCATTCCTGGTTAATTGTTCATGACCTCATTCGATCACAGAGCTTGAATATTGGTCTATTTGTTGTGTTTCCATTGAAGGGAAATTTTGCTTAAAGTATTTACTCTTTCAGTTAACATGAATATCTCATGTGACATTTTCCCCCCTTTATCCCTTTGCTTTCCACACATTTCCGAAACATCTAGGGTGTCTGTAAAACCATGTCACATCCCACATACTAGGACAATGTTTTATGGCACATAGAAATAAATATACTAGCAGAGCTCCTGAAAATGGCAGACCCTCTTTTCCTGACATCACTGATTTTATATTAAAACACATTTTCCTTATTTGTATTGTTTAAACGAAGATTGAGTAATCCTGCATACAACAAAATGAGAAATACTTACATTCATATAAGGAAAAAAACCAAAACTAGAAGCCTATAAATTATTAAATGTTGCTAGATTTAATTTAAGGCATACGTTCAAAACTAAAACACCATAAAGCCTCAATCTGTAGTCAGTAAAGGCATGACTACAATTGTAATGTCTTATGTCTAATAATGATAGACTAACCCCTACAAAATGTTGGTTATCTTGTTAAACTTCTTTATATGAACCCTGTCGGGTGCTTAGCTGGTAGACCTTCTTTCAGGAGCTGACAAACTTTTTGTATTTATCTAAAATGTGATATGAATTAGATACTTTGCAGTCAATTATACTCCAAATAGCCTTTGAAAATCGGTTGTAACGTATATATTGGTTAAACATAGTAGTTGTATGCCCTATTTTCACCTTCCCTACATGAAACTAGTGATTAAACTTTATGAACAAAACAATTAAATATCCTTAAACCATGACCAAATTCTGAACTATCCCTGCTTCCCCGCCAAGGGGCCCTGGTGAGTGGGGACCCACTTTTATTTTTCATCCATCTCTCTGACTTACCCTCTGATTTATCACAGAGAGTAATCAGTGCATTAATTATGGGGCCCCAAGAACATTCCTAGTTTCTTGACAGATCTGCCATTGTGTTATAGGATTTGGGCAAAATAGTTAAGCCCTTTACCCTATTAGATAAATAAAAGGAAATTGCACTTGATTGAAACCAAATGGGAGTCTACACTTACGCATTGAAGTCTGTTTCTGCCCATATGGTTTCTTTGGCATGGGTGATACTGAGAACCCGGTGAATTCGTCTGGACTGAAGCCATGTTGGCTCCGTGGGGGCAACTTCTCTCTGAAGGACATTTGGCTTGTACATAAAGGATAGAGAAAGGAAATACGTTTGCATTTTCTGTAGCCTCTTGCTTTTATTATGCTAGCTCTCAGATTTTCAGCTTGCCCTGACCTCGATCCTTGAACCTGTCTTTCCTGCCTTCAGAAAGGCACTTACCTCCTGTGCACACGGCAGCCTCTTGGAGAGCTGCCGGGGGAGAAGACAAACAAGCCCCAGCATCAACAACAGTGCAAAGGGATGCAACTATTAATTAAGTGTAAAAATAAAACAGCCTGGCATTTTTCTTTGTTTGAAGAGAGATTTTTAAATTACCGCATTCAACATGGGACCTCTCTCTCTGTCACTTCGGTGCTCATAGGAAATGCAATGTGTGTTCTGGGCAGTAGCTCTCTTCCCAATACAGAGGCACAAGCAAGTTTTCTGGCTTCCCTCAAGCACTTAAAACTACTCAACACCACAGACTTCATCCATTTTTTGAGTTTTACAGACACCCCGATTTATTTTTGAATAGGTCACCTCTGAACTAACAAAATAAAGTGAAGAATCGAAATTGTCTGCGTAGAGAGAGAGCCGACTTGAATTACCCAGATAACTCTTTTGATTCTCCACTTTGCTTTGCTAGGGTGGACATGGCCTTAGAATCCCTTAGTTAATCCTGCCTAAATTCATTTCAAATTTTAGTTTCCAAAATACCAAAAATTCACTTGACTCTCTCCCTTTTCTTTTCTTTCCTTTTCATTTTATTTTTTCCCTTATCCCATCTCGATCTCCCCTGGTCATACAACCACTTTCCTTTGGGTCTGTTTGTTTTGATTCGCCTGACACTGCTCTTTACCAGTGCACTCGCTGCCTTTCTTAACATGGGATGCCTGTTATTTTCATTATTTAGTCCCAACCCCTATGTCTCCCTCTTCGAAATCAGTGAGCACTCCCAGTGAAGCTGGAAGTCAAGACTCAGGAGATCTGGGACCCGTAACCAGGTAAGACTTGTTCCTCTGCAGTGTTCCTTCCCTGGGTGTCAGTGGTACAAAACCAGAAACCTACAAACCGTCTGATTCTATTCTCAGTATACTGTTAAATGTGCATGCATATGCATGCATGCCAGTTCCTTTACATTTGCATTTCTGGTGGCTTGATATTTCTAATGGTATAGCAAAGAATTTGGCCACTGGAAATGATAAGCTTAGATATCCATATGGTAGTGCTGTGTGCCCAGTTAGCACCATTTTAAACAAACGAATGCATACTCATTGCCTTAGACCCCAAAGAAAGCAACAAGGGGCCAAAGAGAAAGTCAACATATTTGACTTTTTCTAATTTTCCTTGGGTTTCATTTTCCATGAGAATTTTAGTGATTAGAGCATTTGAGATCATAGTAAGCCTAAACTTCATCTTTAAGGAATCTCATTCATTTAGCTATTTCAAAGGACTAATTTGAGAACTTGGTCTATAAATTGCTTTATCATCATCATTCTCATCCTTAGGGTTCACTGTTTCGCATTAGTGAATCAATTGCCTTTTGTTATGATACTGTGTACTTATGAATTGCTTTAATTTTTTTAAATGCATGTAGATAGTTTCTCATTTGATCAGAGAAGATCAAGCAATACATACAATGTGAAAAGAGTAACTCAGAAGTTGGTTGGTATTAATGGACTCTCCATAATTTACGATGCAACTAATTGTTCTTAAAAATAATAATTTACTAGATTATCCTGTCTTCATCAGGATTACACATATCCATAGTCAGGTGGTATAAAGGAGAATGTAATTGGGCCTGTGGCAACTGATTAGGTCTATGTGGGACTTTCAGTGGACCTTATCTTCCAGTTTTTTCATAGGAAGTAAAACTTTAATCATTATGACAATATCTGCTAAATTTTAAATGTCAATAACTTTTAGTAAGAACAGAAGAGATCCAGGTTTGTTTTATGGGCTGCCAATTTGTGGCAAATTGAGACTGGTCTTAACTCTCATAAAACAAACAAAAAAATTCAGGCATTGTGATATGTAGTTAGCTTACACTGGTCCAGTATCCCTCTCTCAACAGTGTTTTAAAAATTAGTACCAGGGCTAATCAATGACACTATTAGCAGAGGATACTTATGCTCCAGGAAGATGATCGATAGGATTCTCTACCATGCAGTGACAAGGAGCTCTCTAAGGGAAGCCAGAGACTTATGAAAAAGCTTAGATCCAGGAGTGGACTTGGGGCTCACACTAAATTCTAACTCCAATTTAAGAACAATTAGTTCTTACAACAGCCCTGCTTGATACTCACCCTCATGAAGGAAACATAGAAGATAGGGGTGTTATAGCAAAATGTGGTGAAGACATTAGATGGTTCCTGGCTATCAGATAGCATAGTGTCTGGGCTCTTAAAGGCTTCTTTCCAAACAAGCAGCCTCCTAAGTGAGAAGTCAGCTAAGTCCACATGAAAGAAGCGCACCATCATCTGTGACCCGAGTTGTAAATTAAATAGTCCAGAGCCAAAGGAGGGATAGTGTCAGAATTTAAACTGTGAGATTCTGGTTTGCCAAAGACTGTGAAGGACAGCAGAAGCCCAAGATATCTTTGTGAGATCTGCACAGGATAATACGCCCCAGGTGTCTCCCTCTCACCGTAGTGGAAGGATGGGAATAAACTGGTTACCAAAAAGAGTGTTGGGGGGGG